TTAAATAATATATATATATATATATATATATATATATATATATAATATTTATACGTATTTATTTATTAGATATATAATTGTAGGTGGTTATATAACAATAAAAAAGCAAGATATAATTCCGTTATATGACCCACCGCATCTCATCAAAGGTATTTGCAATCATTTATTAAATAATGATTTGGAATTTGATCGTGAAGAAGGAGAAGAACGAAAATTCGCATCATGGGAGATCATCGAGCAAGCATATCACATGGATTTGACTCATAGCATGTATAGATTGATGCCGAAAATCACTGCGGAGCACATAATAAAAAGTAAAATGAAAAGAAGAAAAGTGAAGAACGCTGCGCAAGTTTTCAGTATGACGATGGGTGGATTTATACATCATCATACCAAATTAGAAGGTATTTATATAAATTTAACTGGATGTATAATAACAATTATAATATATAATTATTAATTATTATCCTTTTCTAGGACACGTAAAAACAATATACGGGCCATTAAAAATGCCGGAGAAGAAAGGACGGGATACAGCAGAGATAATACTCTTTTTCGACCAACTATTTGATTCTCTGAATGGACACACGTCAAAGCCAGAGAAGCCACTGAGAGTCGCCATTTCGCATAATAGTCCACATTTTCCATTTTGGGAGAGAGCGATAAGAAGGCTGCAAAGAATGCGATTTGTCGATCGGTATGACAAGAATCAGTTAAGAGATTCGATCATCCTAAAAAATTGGATTTCTACTATAAAAGGGATACGTAAGTTATGGGGAATTTTGAAGGCGTATGAATTCAAATGTCTGAGGCCTCGGATTTTGAACCAGGATCCTCTCCGACATTTCTTTAAGCAGATTCGTTCGTTCGAGATAAGAAATAAAAATCCTACTTGTGCAGAATTCGAGAGTTCTTTTAAAACATTATTGATCAACAATTTGACATCTCCTCGTACTGTAGGAAATAACAGCGAGAATAAGATAGATGGATCGTTGTTATTCACGTTGAAAGACTTTATCTGCAGGGCGAAGAGCAAACGAAGCTACGAAAGATCATTGGAAGATTTACAAATGTTAGACCTGGAGTTCGAGATGAAGCCTTTGGAAGCAACATATCTTAACATTTGCAATTCTATCGCGTCAAGAATTTTGAATAATTTACGCATCAAGGAGTGCGACACCTGTAAGAATCTCCTGACAGATATCACGAAAGCTGATTTAGTTAGCAATCAAAATTTATTAGAGGCATTTAATAATGCCGACTATATGCTAACACGACAGATGAGCAGCGTTTGTTACAGACATCACACGGCGTTGATGTTGGAAACCGAATTATACACACGAATGGATTTACGTTGGTTGAATTGTCCACAGCATAATGTTCTGCTAAAAAAATTTTTAGTATCACACATAGTTGCGTTTTACATTTACAAATGGTGTAACGATATAAATGATATTCTAACGGAGAAAGAGCAAGGTGATTCATGAAACATGTAACAAAGATGTAACAAATCAAAGCGCATTTTAATGATAAAATATAATTTATATTTTGTTTTATGTTGTATAGTAAATAAAATATGACGTATTTTGTAGAAAAAAATGTATGTTTAATCAAATTAAATTCAAGAAATTGTTCCTCCTGTTTTTTACAAAAAGTAAATGAAATGTGATATATTTTGTAAAAAAAGAATCTATTTCAGATTTGAATTCAAAGAATTGTTCCTCCTCTACAAAATTTTATAAGAACCGCATTAAATTTCAACCAATCGAATATCGATGCTCGAAAGCAGCTACAACGAAGAACCTCTCATTCGTTCCAGATACGCCTTAATGTTACATTTAAATGCGAATATCGCGGATGCGCCGTGTGGACGGCCAGTAATAGTAATCCCTCGCGGATTCGCACGACTCGTGCTGTCCCCCCACGGACAGTAATTGGCGAGCGAGGTTTGTGTGGAGGCTGATCGTTCGAACATGGCAGCGATGATCTCGGGGCTCGATTCGCGTGACGGTCGCCTGTGACTTCGGACGCCGATGAAACGACAATATGAACGGTAGGCCGGCGCGGCGGAGTGACTCGGGCGCGCTGACACGACGACAGGGAATAAAGGCGGCGGGGTTGCCGCGGACGAGCTTCCTGCAGGTGAGCTTCCGCATTTTACAGGGACCCTTCCCGTTTACCACGCGCGTGAGATCCTCGCGCGCACGCTAGCGGAATGCGATGCTCGTCCGACGATTCGCTTGGCGTGACGATTCGCTTGGCGTGGCGAGTCGCTCGGGGATTCGCATCAAGGATCTCGGTGAGACCACCGAGCAGCCTCGTCGAGGCGTGATATCGAAGAGTCCCCTCCAATCGAGGGAGAAGAAAAAAAAAGGAATGACAGAATCGAAAACATCCCGTTCTGTCTTGTATATTCGCGACAAGTCGCTTAGAGGGGTAAAACGATTGATTGTCCACTTCTCCCCCGGTAACGTTCTATTATCGGTCGCGTTCGCGCGATATCGCCACGCGGGGTTCACCGGACTCCCGTCCGCCGCCGCCGCCGCCGCCGCCGCCACCGCATACATCCCCGTACCGTTAGTCTCCCACGAGTGTGCGGCTAGTGTGCGGCGCGTGTGGTTGCGACGACGGCCCACGGTAAGTAAGCGAGTGTCCACCAACGGAGG